CACGTCAATATCTCGGGAAATACGGAGTCTGGGAGGCTGAAGTTTTAGGAGAATTACCCCCTGCCCCCGCTCAACCTTGCCCATTCAAATTTAGCGTTTTCGCGTTCTCGAGTACCACCTACGGCCTTGTGAAAATTTTGGCGGGTAAACTATTAACTCGGGAATCACGGAAAGATATTCATCCTTCAAGGTTTCGAATTCTGCTTTCATGCTCTGATGTGTGAAATTTTTAACTGTTTTCCAATGTCTGAACTACTCTTGCATAGACTAAAGTACAAAGCAGTGAAAATCATCAATAGGCAATCGTTCGATGGGCTGAATTGCACAAAACGCATGATCGCACCGGCTAGTCTGGTACGCACCATTTATTTCATTCGCGAGTTATGAATTTTCCCGCCATAGTTTTCACGTGCCCGTACGTGAGCCCTATTTATTAAACCTGCTCTAGCCACGGCACTGCTTGCCTAGGATCAGCTACACAAATAGTCGCACCGTCATCCTCAAACCCCAAAATTTGAAAACTTTCAAACAAGCGCTATTTTTAAAAACAAGAATTGCGCCTTTAAAGCAAGAATTCTTCAAGTATAGTAGAATCTTCAGAAAAATTCCCTCAAACATGAAGTCAAGCAGAGGCATGCCCAGAAACTGTCTCCTCTCCCAGACCCTCCCGACTTTTTGCCACTAAAAAGTACCAAAAAACCAAAAAAGCGGGTTCAGCTTGCGAGAGTTAGAGGGACAAAGAATTTCACCACAAGGCTATAAAAGGAAGGTAAAGTCAGTGGAAAAGCGCCAGAAAACTGTTATAAGCAAAGTTTTCTTGCACTTTTTCAGTGAAAGCCCGTACCTGAGCAAGCAAGACATTGGCATTTGGCTGTCCCTCCCCGTCCTTTCTTCGCAGATATTGAGTAAGCCCGTAAGGCAATCAGCAAATAAGAAAAAAAAACCACCTCACGATCACTGACGATGAAGAGGGGATGTAGTCGACAGGATGCGCGATAGCACACTCCGCACAGATCGCAATCTAGAAATGCTCCTGTATTGGTAAACGATACGAGCAATTCAGGGGATTGTTCTCTAAGGAAGAGGAAGGCATACGTATGTAGTCGTCATCCTCCAATTCCGATTCTGCCAAAACAATCCCAAAAGTTTTCAGCTGCTTCTCTGAAAACAACAAAACAGAAATATTAACCGCAATATATATATATATATATACACGTATATAAATCATGACATTACATGTCTTGCATATAATACTGTATAATGAAGTAAGAAGATTGGAATTACGTGTCATGTATAAGACATTTTACGATATATCTTATACATAACAGATATATAATGTGTATATTAAATATTTATATCTTAATAAATTGGTTGAAGAGGAATGTTCTGCCATCAAATCGCAGACATTCCTATTCAACACCACGACTGGACTTCGTCAGTACGACGGCAATGGCGTTGATAAAATGGATAAATAGCGGCATGCACCAGGGCAGCCGGTACGATCATGCGTTTTGCGCAATTCCGTTCACTGAAAGATTGCTTGCTAATGAGTTTCACTGTCCCGCCGAAACTTTCACGAGACCGCGAGTGATATTGGGACGCACGGGAAGCTGAATTTCAAATTGCAAGATTGTATGTGAACAGAAGACAATACCATAAAATTTAGCTTTCTGGCTTTTATAGTTCCCGAGATAATAATTTTCCCACCAAAATTTTTACGGGGTCGTAGGTGATACTCGAGAGGATAGGAACGCTGAATCTGCGATGT